AATTAAATATTTTGTAAAAAATGATTCTGTTATTTGTTCACATTGAATAAATTTACGCTATCAATTTTATATAAGCAAAATAAAAACAAATGATGCTCTTTGTTTTGATATTTCAAACTAGCTTATGCACACAAAAAAATCACTTTTGGTCATGAAACGGGGATTTCCCGTCTTATCTACATATTACCATCACAGACATAGATTACTAAGAATTCGTAAGTGTAACATACATTTTGTAGTGTTTTTGACAGAAAAACCATGAGAATTTTTGTTATAAGCATATAGTTTAGTGTTTATAATTTCGTGTAAATACAAAATTAATAAATTTCGTTAATTACAAAAACCGTGTCTGATCGAAAACGCGTATAACGAGTACCGTGTAAAATGGGGTATAGGTGTATATTGAATAAAATTTCTAACATCTACGAGTTCTAGAACAAAAATAAATATTTATCAAAAATATTCAATATCAACAAACTAATTTAAATTAAATTTAAAACGTTCTGTTTACAACTGACTATTACATTTTACTCTACTGAAATTTCCCAACGACCTGCTTAACCCACCCATCCGAAAACTTACCTTTACTTGGTGAATCACAATCGTTATTCACTGGCGATTCACTGTTATTTACAGGCGATTCACTATTATTCACAGGTGACCCGCTACTATTCAAAGAATCAGACTTTGCATCAACATCATCAGTTTTGTTATAAGGATTATTATCATCGCTATAAATCGCGCTATCGCGAAAAAAATCACTTTCTAGCGAGTACTCGACAGATTTTTCATAAAAATCGTTGTTTATTGCGCAAGTTTGTGCAACATGACTAGGGGTAGACGATTGAGTAGATGAATCGCAATTTTGGGTACTTTTTGATTTTTGGAATAATATTGTTGGATCGGCGTAGTCTAAATTTGCGAAGCGTTCGCCTATGCGTAGTAAAAGACTCTTGGATTATTTGCTACATCTTTATTTTTAACCAACGAGTTTCTTTTATTAACTGGAGGTGGTTCTTCGACGTCAGTAGGTTGTTGCAGTTTTTCTAAATACAACTCTTGCAATTCTGTAGTAACCCGTTTGAAATCATTTTTACTTTTTTCGATCTCCGCTTTTAATTCATCCAGTACCACATACTCACTTTCATCCTCATCACAATTCGTTTTTAATGTTTCGTAAATGTGGTCCTCGTCGTCGTTGTTAGAATATACATTGGAAGACACTATATAACTACCTTCGTCTAAATTTTTGGAATTCCGACTTTCATCGGTTGATTCAGTGATGTGCAGATCATTACACGTACCCCCATCAAGGTCTGTGTAAAACTTAGAACCTTGATTGCTTTTCATACTTTTAGTCCGCGAACGTTTAATTTTCGTTATTTTCTTGGGCAAAGTCTTTGTATTATACTGTTTGATCTCAAACGACTTTATAGGCGGCCTGGAATCCTAGGAACAGAATCCGTAATCGTTGTTTCATAAAATTCCGACGGTATACCTGGTTCTGATCTACACCTTGCAGCCTCCGGATTCTGTGCAGTATGAGGTTTCAATTTACTCTCATAATCCATATTAACGTATTCGTTAGAATAACACTTTTTATCCATATTTGAAGAATCTTTGCTTCCGTCCTCTTCCAAATACCAACTACTGTACCTTTTCTCACCAGGTTTACCCTCAGGTGATGCTACAGGTTGATCGTTGCTCAGGTTCGTCGGTATAATAAATTTTCTGTTTTTGTTCAAACGACGCATAGACATTTCGGTACGGCGTCTTTCGTGTCTTCTTTGTAAATAATCAGGAGTCGAATCGGGTTTGACACCGGGCAAAGCAACTGGTAAACAATATATCCAAATTTAGTAATGTATTATTTGAATACGTTTTAGCAAACACTTACCCAAGCTTTCTTCAGCATCGATACCCAATACCAAGTCTTTTGCCCTTGTGGGAATCTTCCCATTAAATTGTTCCAACATCAAGCGTTTTAATTGTAGGCCCCATTGTTTCTTTTTGTTGTACCGAACGTGCCTACAAAAGGGTAATTGATATATTTATTTAAGCCGTAGGTTTAGTTATAGTAATTGCAAACAAATCGAAAATGAAAATTGCAAGGAAATTTGCCACTAGTTTAATTATGAACTAGTAGTGTATGGCATCGTGCCTTAATGCAAATTGCTGGAACTTCCCGTACCGTAATGAAATATTCGAGAAATTTTAAACGTTTTCAAATATATTATTACAAATACTGTAACTTTCATTATTTTTGCATTTTCTTGTTATATGTGAGCAAATCAAATGTAAATCATAAATCATAAATCAATTTATCTCCAGAACATTAACAATCGTCATTTTCATTTCGAATTCAATTTCAAAAAAAATAGTTGCCAACAAAATTGAAAAAGTGCTCCCATATAGCCACAGTCTAAACGCATTTGCAAATAATTCTGTGCGACATTTTCACTCATACTGTGCTTAGATTGACGGCATTTTCACATTTTTCAACAGTTTTCACAAAATTGGAAAATTGCTCCATACATAAACAGTCTAAACGCACTTGGGTAAACATTTGCACCAGAGTGGCGCTTAGACTGTACTTAGTCAGTGTAATTTTTTGAATTTTTGATCCAAAATTACAAAAATATTTTTTGAAAAAAAAAATTAGAAACAGTTTTTTTTCCAAAAGCAATTATTTTGTTGAAACAAGCAGAAAGTTCTTTCAATCATTTAAATCGGACGCTTAGTTCTCTCAAAAACTGCTATTTAACATTTAGTTGTATCTCCGAAACCGCTGGGCCTACGTTTACCAAAAACTAATAACCACTTTTCCCCGTCATTACGAACTGAATGTTTTTTGGATCATACAAATCGGATGATCCGTTCTTTCAAAACACGGTTTCTATTTTCTGCATTCTTTGCTCCATATCTCCGTAACCGCTAAATCTGCCTTTGCCAAAAACTAATTAGTACATCTCCTTATCAATAGGGATCGAATGTTTTTTAAACCATTTGAATCGGTTGATCCGTGTGCCCGAAAACGTGGACGAAAAATGCGGCATACAAAACACACACACGCACACACATCCATTTTTTCTGAAGTATGCCAAAATGTTAAGAAACCTTCAAAACGTCGAGATATGCAAACATTTTCATTTTTTGATTTTCGGCCCATTAGTATAACTACCCTATGGAAAGTTAATTAACATCATACATACTTGTAAAGTGATTTGGTTCCTTGGATTATCGTATGGTATCACATGAAAACTTGTCGGTTCACCTTGAATTACTTCTACTAACATCAGATTAGAACACTAAAAATAATATATTTAGAAACATAAAATTATATATATATATATATATATATATATATATCATGTGAATATTTGTGTACTCACCATGATATGACTTTTGTATGCTAATCTACCATCCTCTTTACGTTTAGTGATGAGTAACATCTTTTCAAATAAAAATACTTGTCGACTTTTGTGATTTCTTTCTTGCAAAGTGCCTTCAAGACATAATTCGCCCAAAACAGTCAGACTTGGTCCCAGCCAGCCGTCTAAACTACCTTCTAACTCCTTAAAAAAAATACAGTGGTCAATAAATTTATATTTTGATATTATTATTTGTAATTTTTCACTCACTTGAACTCGTGATTGTTGTTCTAAATGCCTTTTAACTTCATCAATGTGATGTGCAACATCAGTCATAAGTTTAGAAGCCTTTTCTATGTGAATATTTTCATAATGTTTGTACAAATTCTAAAATACAATATTTTGTATAAAAGTCCTGTGATAAAATTTGAAATTCTTATAGTTTACCTGCAAAAGTAAGTGATATTTCATAATCCTTTGCACAGGTTTTAATAAAAAAGATCCCAAAGGCAAATTATGACCTAAAGAACTTTGGGTATTCCTTAGTAAACTTGCAGTATCCATAGATTGGAGTAATTCTGTTAATAAAGCTATGGCTTGCGGATAATTTGTGCTGTAAGTAAAAAATAATATTGAATTTCATATCATATAATATTTAACATGTATTGTCTTACCAATATTTGGTATATACTTCAAAACCATCATTGCTATCTATAAAACATTTTGCTATTTTAACAGGATCGTTTTCAGTCATTTTTAATTTCAATAACAAATCACTGCAAAAAAATTATATATATATTAAAATTTTATTATGGAGTTTTAATTAATATTTGTACATACCTGTTGAATTTATATATTTCAAGTATATTACAAAATAAAGTATCTAACTTATCGGCATCTAATAATGACTGTTCTTTCCATGAATTCAAATAGCCCTAAAATTATAAAAATTAATTAATTATATATATATATATATATATATACAAATATAAATATTATTACCTCAATAACTTGCTTCAGATCAACTACATAAGTTTCTTCTGTATTATAACTTCTAAACAAACTTTTCACCAACAGAAAGAGTTGATCGATTTTCATCTGCAATTAAATTTATGCTCATTAATTTCTACAATTTATTCATATATATTTATTTATTATTACACATTCGATCTTGATCACTGTGATCAGCTAAACTTTCTATAGAAGCCAAATATTGTGAACCGCCTCGATTATTGTTTGTACTAGTACTTACTACTGCTTGAATCAGTAGAACAAGTTGATAAAGGTCTAACAAAGCGTAAGCCTGTTGGATTTGACTCTTGTCTGAAAAATAAATACCTTATAAACTCAACTAATTGTTTTATTTATGTATAAATAAATTTTGATGTACCTGCAAATGGGTGAATGTTCTGACTGTTACTACAATCTGATATTGTCGATGTTAAACTGATATCAGCTACTGATGTTGTCTCAGAAATGCTTTCCATATCATTGTCAGCCATATTTTGATGTAATGTAAATAAATGACTTTTAACTACAAAATCAGAAAAAATTACAGGTTAAGAAAATTATTACATGTAATACAATATATGTGTAAGTTATATTACCACTAGTTGTATCTTCTAAATTATCTGTATGTGATTCTGTGTGTATTTGTAAATCATTACTGCTTTGTGATATTTTACTTACAACACCGGACAAAGGAAAGTTGTGATGACTTTTAGCTTTTCTTACAGGTAACTTACTTTTTATCATAAATTGTGATTGATTTTCTGTCGGTGATGGCTGTAAGTAAGTGATAATTAACATATAATATATTTAATATGTATAATGTAAGTAAATATTGATTTACTGGGTCTGATATGCAATCGGAGTGTGCCAAAATTCTTTGAACATTTGGTGATAAAACATTAAGATTCTTGAATGGTTTTCTTGCAGGTGTAGGTATGTTGCACAATTTTAATATGGATCCTTTTATTTCTACAGAACTACCTATTTTAATAAAATTTAATTAGTATTTTTATATTTAAATATGTATGTGTATATGACAATAAATACAATGCATTTATTTGACAGGTATATAATAAATAAAACATAATAAGTAAAACGTATCAACCAAAAACACAACGAGAACTAATTAATTAAAAGCAACACATAACTAAAGCAGCAACCAAATCAAGCACAAGGTGAAGGGCTTTTATCTGAAGGACTTACTCTCATTTACCAGCTGCTAAGATCTTTTTCGTTGCTTTTTACGATCCTAGGGCAATCTTACTATTTTAAAACAATTAATCAATGTTTATCTGGGAAATTAAATAATTACAAAAAATTACCAAAGAAATCCTCCCAAGTTTCAGAATCATCATTTGAATATCCAGTATCCATCTTTAATATCATTCTACATCACACTATATTTCTTATCTTAAGTAGTTTGTATAAAATTTTATATTATATATTTACATTTGATATTATCTTATTTTGATAATTTTGTCATTATTTTGACATTTTATGATAACAAGGCGTGTTCAATTATGACAAATGACATTTAAGGAGAATCGTAGAGAAATAATAGGTGGGATGGGAGCAGGAAACAAAAATATAAAAAGAATATTCAAACGCCTTTTATTCCATAAATAATTGTTTTATTATATAAATATATTTGTATTTTATATATTTATTTTGTATAAATTTGGTATATATTCAAATACAAATGTTTTTAAACTTTTATTTTATCCAGTTTGAATATTTAACCAATGACCTTTGCGCAATTTTTTCAGAGTTAATCAACGTTGGCCGCACTGGATATTTATAAATCAACTTACTTCATCTTGTTGTATTCACGAGTGCGGTGTACAAAAGCATTTTGTTTCAATTAAATGTTCTAGAATATCAATTTAGAAAGCAAAATGGTAAGTTTATTTACAGTATTTTAGTGAAACTAATGCTACTTTAAATAATACGATTTGTGTTACACATAACCATATGATACTAAGATATATTTGGATCATTCTGGAAGACAGCAACCTCCCAAAAAATCGCATGATAGATCTTGCACATGTCGAGTTTTTGCGTAATTTACAGATTATTTCAATAAATTGTTTGTACTAAAGACATTTTTCAAGCTTTATCAAGTGAAACCGATACTATAATACACTAATTAATGTCACGCCGACATTTTTTGTGTTCACTATATATCCTAACCAAAATGTTGTGCAAAACGAATGACAATGAGTTCTAAATCTTAGGTGTCCCTTAATCCAGTGAGAATCTTGAAAAATGAGGCTGCTGAAGAAAAAGCAGAAATTGCTCGCTTATCCAGTTTTATTGGAGCAATTGCAATCGGAGACTTGGTTAAGAGTACCTTGGGACCTAAGGGTATGGATAAAATACTAGTCGCTCATGGAAGGAATTCCGGACAAGTAAGTTATAGTTCAAATAATAAAGTACATAGATATCTTGGTATCTTGATATATGATTCATGAATAATTTTAGGTTGAAGTCACTAACGATGGGGCCACAATTCTTAAAGCTGTAGGAGTTGATAATCCTGCCGCCAAAATCTTAGTTGATATGTCTAGGGTACAAGATAATGAAGTGGGCGATGGCACTACTTCAGTTACAGTACTTGGTAATAAACATTATTAAATATATATATATATATATATATATATATATATCTATGTATATAGTATATATATATTATATATATATATATATATATATATATATATATATATATTATATTAATGAAATAGATATAGTCAAATGAAATGTATATATTATATGAGAACTGTTTTTCATAATCTCTCATACCAGGCACCTCTGCCTGACTGAGATATGAAAATAAAATATATATATATATATAATATATATATATATATATTATTTTGGATTGCCTTGTCATCATATTTTCATTTTTAGCATCTGAATTGCTTCGTGAAGCTGAAAAACTCATTGAACAGAAAATCCATCCCCAAATTATCATCTCTGGATGGCGTAGTGCTGTGGAAGTAGCCCGCAAAGCTTTAGAAGATGCTGCTTCAGATAATTCTACAAATGAAGCCTTGTTCAAAGAAGATCTGTTAAATATTGCCCGCACTACTTTGAGTTCAAAGATCTTGTGCCAGCATAAGGAGTAATTATTTTGAAATAAATGATGGTAATAAATGAATGTAATGTTATTGATGATGCATGATATTTTTAGGTATTTTTCAAAACTGGCAGTAGATGCTATATTACGTCTCAAAGGCTCTGGTGATTTAGCTGCTATTCAAATAATTAAGAAAAAGGGAGGTTGTTTAGAAGACTCATTTTTAGATGAAGGATTTTTGTTGGACAAAAAGGTTTGTATTTGTATTAAAAAAAAATTCTGTTGACTTTATAATATTTTTTTTATTATTTTAGGTGGGTCAACATCAACCCAAACGCATTGAAAATGCAAAAATCCTCATTGCCAATACTCCTATGGACACAGATAAAAAAAAGTATTCGGGTCTGCAATTAAAGTAGATTCAATGGCCAAGATTGCAGATTTGGAAATGGCAGAAAAGGAAAAAATGAAAAACAAAGTGGAGAAGATTCTTAAACATAATGCAAATGTGTTCATCAATAGACAATTGATCTACAATTATCCTGAGCAATTGTTTGCTGATGCCGGAGTTATGGCTATTGAGCATGCTGATTTTGATGGTATTGAAAGATTGGCTCTTGTTACTGGTGGTGAAATCGTGTCTACTTTTGACCAGCCTGGGCTTGTTAAATTGGGTACATGCAAGCTTATTGAACAGGTATAAATAAATAAGAATTCATATAATAATTTAAAGATCCATTCTCAATTTGTAATTATTTTTCAGGTTATGATTGGTGAAGACAGTTTACTCCGGTTCAGTGGTGTTCCATTGGGAGAAGCTTGTACTGTAGTTATTCGTGGTGCTACTCAGCAAATCATTGATGAAGCTGAAAGATCTCTTCATGATGCTTTGTGTGTGCTTGCTGCTACTGTCAAAGAATCCGGACAGTTTATGGAGGAGGTAACAAGATTAAAGATAGCTTTTTGTATCATTGGATTCATTATATCTATATATTTATTATTTCATAGGTTGTAGTGAGATGCTGATGGCCTGTGCTGTTATGCAAGCTGCAGCTCGAACTCCTGGTAAAGAAGCTGTTGCAATGGAGGCTTTTGCAAGAGCTTTGCAGCAACTCCCCACGACAATTGCTGATAATGCAGGATATGATAGTGCACAATTAGTGTCTGAATTAAGAGCTGCCCATTGCCAAGGAGATTCCTCCACTGGATTGAGTAAGTAATTAATACATGTTATATATAAATGTGTATATATGATTGTAAATTTAATATCAATCTTGATTTCCAGATATGGATTTGGGTAAATTAGGCTGCATGAAGGTTTTAGGCATCACAGAATCCTATGTTGTCAAACGTCAAGTTTTGCTATCAGCTGCTGAAGCTGCAGAGATGATTCTGAGAGTTGACAATATATGAAGGCTGCACCAAGGAAACGTGTTCCTGACCGTGGACACTGTTAGATTCTAGATTTTAGTTATTTTTGGAGCTGATTTTGGATCCTACTGCGCACTTTTAAATCATCTGAAGTATTTAAATCAATCATTTCACATCAAGCTTAATTTGTTATATTAGTATTGATTCTATGTATGCATTCTGTTGAGATTTTTTATATAAGAATTATAAAGTAACATGCTGTAATTGTTGAGAAGTTTTTTGTTTCAGAATTCAATTTGATTTTTCAGGCTTTAAGTGTTGTTTTACTCAGCACATTTAAGGAGATGCATAATGCATAATGCATAAATATAAATATATATATATATATATATATATATAAATAATTAGAAAAATCTGGTTATAATTAAACAGTTTTAGAATGTTTGAATTCCAAAGTCGTTTCAAAACTGTCAACTGCCCATATTTACCATCTATATATAATTCGTATTGATATTCTATGACTTGGCTTAGTTCAACGTTTCGTCAACAGAAGCGAATTTTACTTCAATTTAACCAAAATTGATTTTTACTAATAATTAATTCAAATTTATTTCACGTACCATTTCCACTAAAGTGCCATACGAATAGTTCCTAAAGCTCTTTCCAAACAATGTTATCATTAAATACATATCAATATAAAAAACTTGATCTGCAACGTACTTTGTCATAACCCTAAACATCGATTTAATTCATATAATAAAGTTGCAACAAATCAGTAAGGTGTTATTAGTGTGTTTTAATCTGTGGAAGTCAACAAGACTTCAATAAAAACACTAAAATGTGCACGTAAATGTTATTTTCTAAGTTAACCTAAAATTTGAAATGTCATTTACGGGGCGCCCCCCAATGGGGCCGAATATGGCATATATGCCCCCAAATATGATGCCACCCATGCCGGTCATGCAGATGCCACCTCATGTAAATATAATAAATATATACATTTTATAATATCTGGAATCAACTTTTGTGTAGTTAGAATAGTTTCTGTTTAGTTCCAAGTCTGTTGTCTCATAAATATATTTCATTAATACAAAGTATTAATCATATAGTTTATTAGGCAATTGCAAAAAGAAATATATTTATGAAAGCATATAATAAGATGTTGCAAAATCTGTATCTAATATACAAAACTTAGCAATGTAACATTATTTTTACAATATTTAAAGTTTAAATTCTTGTCGATTTAAGTATGGCTTTATGTATAACTAATAACATGCATATAACCTGTAAGCAAAATAATATTACATATCTGTAATCAATTTTTTTTTAATTAAATCTTTTCCTAGTCACAGACATCAATTTCTCTTATAGGTAATGCCCGGAGGTATGCCAATGAGGCCATTTTGTCCACCGGGACCTCCACCTATGAGACCGCCTTTCAACAAACCGCCTCCACAAATATCAGCACCTCCTCAACCTGCACAGGCACCTGCACCGACTGGTACAAGCGATGGACCAGCAGTCACCGTCTTTGTTGGTCAGTAGTAAAAGAAATCTAAACCTCATTTCTTATTTATTAAGTTCATTGTGTAATTCAACTTACACCTAGGTAATTTATTAATAATTATCCAATTATTAATAAAAAAAATTAATATTGACTACTTAATTACATTTATATTTGCTAAAATAGTATATTTACATCAATTTTTTTTTTTCAAAGGCAATATAACAGAAAAGGCTCCTGATACCATGATCAGGCAGATTCTTTCAGCTTGTGGTCCAGTTGTTTCTTGGAAACGGGTTTCTGCATTTGGATTTTGTGAATTTAGGTGTGTATTGTAATGATTTATTAATAAGACAAAAATGTCTAGGTTATTAAATTACGAAATTCATTCCAGTTGTCCAGAAGCTGGTTTAAGAGCAGTACGTTTGCTACATGATTTAGAGATTGGAGGGAAAAAACTGGTTGCTAAAGTTGATGCAAAAACTAAAATAGTATTAGATGA